GTTTGTACTAGGGCTTCGCAATCAGCCAAGTTTGTCTAGAGATGTCTGTGGTCGTGCCCGCCGCGAAGGTCAGATTAAAACTCCCCCCGCAAGCTCCAATTCCAGACGTGCACACCACCACCTCCTCGCGCGTAGCCGAGGCGAGCCGCAGTCTCCTCCCGCACCTCGCCGACTAGCGCCGCAGCTTGGCCCGCACGACGGGCACGAAAGCAAGCGCACACCACCGCCCCCGCCCTCCTCCACCTCACCTTCCTCCTCCTCCTCCTCCTCCTCCTCCTCCTCCTCCTCCTCCTCCTCCTCCTCCTCCCCCTCCTTACTCCTCTCAGGTCCGCCTGCTCCTCCTCACTTGTCCGTCTCCCCCCTCCCCCCCAGGGGCGCCGAGGGGACCCCCTCGGGCGCGCCTCTCCTGCTCCTCCCTCCCCCTCCCGCCTCGACTCGATCGGACGGCCTCTGCTGCACGGGCGCCCTCTTGCGCCAATACCTCGTGCGCCCCCCCCCCGTAGCCGCTCTGCCGGGTGCCGCGCGCGTCGACCCGACGCGGACCTCCACCGCACCAGAGGCCGCGCCCGCGGCGGCAAGTCCGAGGCCAAAGAGAGCCGCGTGGAGGGCGGTGAGAAGCCGCCCAAGAGCGCGGACGGCGTCAACCCCAGCAACGAGCCGCTGCAGACTGCAGATCCTGACGAACAAAGCTAATTTTGCAGTCGTCCTCGAATCGGCGCAACGTCGAGAGCATCCTCTTCGACGTGATCATCGTGCCGCAGGGCATGCCAGAGGTCGCGCGCGTGCCAGACAAAAGAGCCAACCACGACGAGCAGGTGCAGGACAAGGGCAACAACAACGAGATCGGAACATACATCTGGGGGTGTCCGGGGCATTGCTGGAAGCGTTCTTAGCAGTCTACGGGCAAAAGTTCAAGCATCGTCTGAGCATGCGGAGCTAGGGGGACCGCACGGACATCATCAGATTCACGGAACTGGACAAGTGCTGCGACCAGTCGGAGAAGCGTCCGGGGTGAGTGACACAAGGAGCTGATTGGATACTTGGTACAGCTCAGCGTTTGGAGCTGAAATCGGAGAGGGGTCTAACGCCGCACATCGAGAGGGACTTGCAGGAGTGGCTCGAAGTCTTCCTGTCGTGAGGAGCCCGACTACGAACATCATAACTACAACATATTCGTTATTGCACAGCGCTATCTACCAGGATCTAGGTACGGAGCCAAATTCATCGCAAGGGGGAGATCCACTTTTGCCAAGGGATGTGCACATGAGCCGACAGCAGCGTACCGAGATTCCATCACATCGCCAGAGCGACCGACATCTTCTAACCAATGACAGTTCCAAGTGTGGCAGCGAGCGCAGTTCAGAGAGTCAGTCAGAGAAGGTTGAGACTGTGCAAACTAAAGTTTGGAGCTCGACTGTGGCATCATTGTTCGCACCTCTATCCTCACCGCCACCAGACGCATAGCCGCGAGAACCAAAAAGTAGCCGCGGGCCAGTTTCAGCACATTGTGTTTCGTATATTCTTTCCCCAGCACCTCGGAGGATCCGGAGGTCTATGAGGCGTGGTTCGCCCTCTTCGATTGAGCCCAGCGGATCGCAGATGCTACGCCTGAGGGGACCCAGAGAGCTATGAGGAGCGTATCGTCGCTTCGCAGGGTACAGCCCCAGGGGCCAACTATACTGCTTTTAGAGACTATGACCTTGGGCTCAAGTTAATAGGCGGTAACTTCTGAAGCACAGAGATCTGTACATCGTAGGGGGGTCGACTCCATTGGCCTCCAGAGAGGCTGAGAGATTATCAACTGCCCAAGGGGTACCCGAGGGCTCTTCAAGGTGGAAGGCGTTGCTTCGCAGTAGGCATTTTCCATACATGTGTCGACGTAGGGGAAGAGGTCCCCCGCAGTCTGGACACGGGTAACTCGTTCCCGGATTTACATACTCGGGCAGTGTACCAGCATTTGGTGCAGCCTTGGGGTCCGCTTCCGAGGAGCTTTGGACCTGAAGTATTGAACTGTCGCAGAGGTTTCGAACTTTTCGCGTAGGACAATTCAGGCCACTACATAATTGTTATTTCATTTGCTACCTCTCCATCCACCTCTCTCCTCCTTCCTCCTCCCTCTCGTTTTCCTCGCCCTCATCTCCCTCCGTCCTTCCGTATTTCTCTTCTCTCCTCTCTCTTCTGTCTTGTCTCTTGTCCCCGCTCTCTCCTCTCCTCTCTCATTTTCTCTCCGGTCTGCTCCTCATCCCTCTTCTGATGAACAGTTGACTCCTCTCTGCTGCACCTCCGGACGTGTCGGCACGGCGGGTCAGGCGTGTTTGAAGGGGCCCTGGGACACACACATAAATGGACACACATAACAGGATTCCACTCATTTTCCCATATTTCCTCGGTTTTTGTCTCCCCCCCACTTCCCATAGTTTCCCATATTTTCCTGGGGATCGAATATTAATTGTGTCTGTGTGTTTTTTCCCCTCCTGGTTCAAGAGCTCCAAGCATGGAAGACGGATGGCTTTCACCATGGGGTTCTCGCGCTGGTGCCGCGCACATTTGCCCACAAAGCGCCTGTGACAACTTCAAGGGTGGAGGGCGGAGCGTCGAAAGAGTGCGGCCTCGTCCCAGCGCCACGCACACTCGTGTTCAAAGCTTGCAGCAGCGCCAGAAGATAGAAGGCGGCTCCCCTTCAACATGTGGCTCTCGCTTCAGCGCCGCGCAGATTAGTCTAACAAAAATTGCAACCCTTTCACACATGGAGGGCGGGTCTTTTTCAAACCGTGGCCCTCGCCCCGGCGCCGCGCGCATTTTTGTTCTAGAAGAGATTCAGAGACAAGCTCTTCAACGGCTTCCAGGACTCTTCGGTTTGAATTCCCAGGAATGGTGTTCTTGGCGCGATTCAGGCTCGTCCAGGCGCATCAATTACGTTGATTCGCGAGGTCGGAATCTGAAAAACTGTGCCCAAGATTTTAGAGCTGTCAAACGCGAAACGGTCACCTTGATTCACGGTGTTGAAGTCCCAGGTATGGTGTTTTGGCACGGATGAAGATTCTGGGCGGTCGCCTCCCAATGGGGCACTTCCAGCATTGAGAAGAAATTCCTGTATGGTCCGACAAAGAGGGGACTTAGACAGAGGGGACTTAGACAGAGGGGACCTAGAAAGAGGTTACAACATCCTTGCTGCGTCTTTGGTTTGTACTGGTCCTCCTCCTCTTCCTCGCTTGTCATCCTCTTTCTCCTCTCCCCCCCCTTCGAGGCTCCGATGGGATCCCCGGCGCGCCTTTGATGCCAAACGTGGGCCCCTGCGACGGCTGCCGGATGCACGTGAGCACCTGACAGCGTAGCCGTCACCCACCGCCGCTGTCGTCGCCGTCGTCGTTGTGGGTCGTCATTCCGCTGTCGTCTAGCTGACCCTCGTCTTTTGTCCTCGTCGTCGCCTTCGGTCGTCGTCGTCGTCGTCGTCGTCGTCGTCGTCGTCAGTCCTCGGTCTTCGTCGTCATAATACGAAGCAGAGGAGGAGAAGAAGGAGGAGGAGGAGGAAGAGGAGGAGGAGAAGGAAGGGGAGGAGAAGGAAGCGGGGGGGGGGGACGCTCGCCAAGACGTGGACCAGACGGAGGCAAGGTCAGGCGACACGTTGGATGCCGCTTCTCTGAAAATTGCAAATTCTGCTGCACGACAGGCGGGCGCGCCACGACACCGACGCGAGCTCACGCCTTTAAACAAAGCTCATCCCAGAAACAGGAGTATCCAACAAAGGCAGGAGGGGGAGGAGAAGGAGGAGGAGCGCCCCCCCCCCAAAGAATGAGGAAGACAGGTTCCATCACGCCACACGCGCAGCCCGCACTGCAGCGGCAACCAGAAGGACTGGAGCGACGCACGATCGAGGCCGTCGGGGTCGACCTTGGACACAAACTCCCCGTGGCCTGAGAGATCAGACAGGCGGAAGACAACCATACACGCCGGTCGGAAGAAGTGGGTAGAGCCATGAAGCGGGAAGGCGTTGGAAATCGGTTGGGCTTGCGCCCGCCCCCTGAAGAAGAGGCAAAAGGGACAGCCGCTCGACTCCTGACGTAGGGAGCCGCCGAAAATAGATTGGGATCCGGATATTACCAGCCGCGGGCGTATCCCTATCCCTAAGATGACAATCTTAGGGATAGGGATACGCCCTCAAGGCGTAGGGACACGCCAAAAGGCGTATCCCTATCCCTAAGATTGACACGCCAAAAGGCGATGACAATCTTAGGGATTCGCCCTCAAAAATAAGAAATCCCTAAGATTGGCATCGAGATGAGGAGGTGCCCAACATAGGGATAGGGATAGGTTCCAGGCTGGTACGGATACCCAAAATACGTACTTTCAACGACCGGCGTGTACACCCTGTCGGCAGACGACCCTAAGCTGGGGAAACAGAGGGGTACGGATACCGCTACTCCCCGGACCTCTTCCAGGGTGCGTTCTGGCCAGGATTGCGAGGCGAATCCGGCGGTGGCGACGAGGGCCTCTCAGGAGGCCCAAAAAGGCGGCAACGAGGGAAGGGTAGCTGTGTGGGCACCTTGTCCTCCCTTGAGAAACAGCATCATTCCAGGGTGTAGAGAAGCATGATACTGCACTGCACTCTCGGAACGCCATTCATGAGACCATGCGGGCCACACGTGGCGGATTCCCGAAACCCTGAACCCACCAAAAAGGTTGTCGTCTCTTGGGGGGCCATTTATTACTTCCACCACCTTCCGCCGCCCTTCTGCAAGCTTCCGCCGGCGGAGGCGGCCTCGTTGTATGTCCGCCGACCTTCAACCGAGGAAGAAATAACAACTCCTCCGATCCTCAAAGACAACGCCCCTCTTGGAGCGGGCCCCGTGAGAACATCCACCAGACCATGCGGGAGGCCATCTGGCCACCGCCTCCGGGGCGGGCAGCGCCGCCCCCTCTAAGGAGAACGGCGGTCGTGATGGAAGGAAGGGGTTGTGGACAAGCACGTGCCACGACTTGCAAAATAACTACTCGCAAATAGCCTGGATCCGCCGCGGGGGATTTATGATATATTGCATCGAGGTCGACAAATGTTTATGTCGGAGGTTTGCGAATAGGCACTTTGCGAGTAGCGGAACGCGCTCGGTGGGGTTGGGAGGATAAGAGGCATGAGCAATAGCATCTTGACGCAATGAATGATACCTTTGGCCGCCTATGGGAAAGGAAATCCTCATTTCCCCCAGCTCCAGACAAAGTCGAAGCACCGGCCCCCAACCTCTCGACAACTTCCCTGGGACCGGTTTTGTATCCCGAGTCGTTCTTTGACGCTTACACGGCCCGGTGAGGGCCCCGAGACGTGCCCCCCCCCGCCCCCCCCCCCCAGCACGCGTGCAAGGGCGTTCGAACGAGTTCGGCATGCGGCGCGAGAGGCCCATTTGACAGAATGTCATGGAAATGTTGGAGAACCGATGGTTTTCTCAAGAATCCGCAAGACCGCGAACGCAGGATTCGTCTGAAAACTGATGTTGCAAAACCCTGCGTGTTTGAAATGTCTTCGGGACGCTCGTTTTTTGAAATCCTTACGAACGCACGGTTTTGAGGAATGTCGGCATGCACGCGCGACGACGCGCGGGTGTGAACGTCGCCCCGTTTGATGCGAGGGATTATTGCGAGAACGCGCGCGCAAGGGCGCTTGAGCGATTTCGACATGTGCGCGCCGCGAGAGGCCCGCTTGGTAGCGTGTGGTGCACCTGTTGAAATAGCAAGCAATTTGCTCGAGAATTCGCAAGAGCGCGGGCGCAAGCTTTTGTTGAAAACCCGTGTTGCGAAATGATGTGCTGTTGTGTGTGTGTGTGTTCGTAGCTCTCGATTTTGCAATCCCTGTGCAGACTAAGGTTCCCCAAGGATGTCGGCAGGCGCCTGCGACGACGCGTGCGCGCGTCGCCCCACTTGCTGCAAGGGGTGATTGAGCACTGGTGGCTCTTGATGAGCGGGTGCGCGCAGAGTCTCTGTTGCAGGGGATGGGGGGGGAATAACCGCCTGTCTGGGACGAAACGAATTCATATTTAGGATGGAGGATGAAGCAGAACCGCATGCAACATGCGATACGAAGAAGGTGCCCCGCTAACCCCGTGCAGGGGGGGATAGAGCCCAGTACTCTTGTAGAAAGGAGAGCTGGTTTTTATAAGTGAATTGGCAAATTCGCTGCTCGCGCAAACACCCCGCCCACCCACCCGCAACTTGATTTGAAAAAACCAATGCGGCGGCGATTGCGATGAGTGTTTGGCTTTGTTGGTGCATCTCTGCGGCCGCGCTAGCCTGCGCATGCTCGCCGCGCGCAGCGGCCGCCTGGTTTGGCGCGACCGACGCGACCGCGGTGGCGCTGGCCGTGGCGCATCTCCCAGCGGGCCCTTCAGTGCGAGTCGGTGATTTGGGCGGGCACGGTATCATGGCGACGCCGACAACGGTATACACGAATATGAGGGTACGATGATGGTGGGTGGCGGCGACAATGACAAGGCCGATGACGGCGCCGATGTTGACCACGCCCGCCAATAACAATGACGACGTCCCCACGTCAGCGATGACGGTGTTCGAAGGAGTTCGACATGCGCGCGTGGCCGACGCGCGCAAGTGGCCCGCGTGGCACCATTTGACAAGGATCGTTACTCCCCCGCGCACGCGCGCAAGAGCTTTCGAATGAGTTCGACACGCGGCGCGAAGAGGCCCGCTGTTTGGCAGAGATTGGTGAAATTGTTGGGACACCTATGGTTGTCTTAGGAATCCGCAAGACCGCGAGCGCGTGATTTCTTCGACAACTGATGTTGCGAACCCATGTGCTTTGACATTTGTTTTGGGCAGTCATTTTTAGCAACTTACGAAACCTAAGGTTTTTGACATGTTTCGACATGCTCGCGACGACGCGCGCGTGGGCACTTCGTCCCATTTGTTGCAAGGGAGTATTGCGACAACACGCTCGCAAGAGCGTTCGAACGAGTTCGACATAGGCGCGCGCAAGGCCCACTCGGTAGCATGCAATCCAAACGTTGAAAAACCGATGGTTTCCTGAGGGGTTCGCAAGAGCGCGGGCGCAAGTTTTTGTTGAAAACCATTGCTGCAAAAACGTTTGTGCTTAAATGTTCCCGTGGCTCTCGATAGTAAATTCCTTACAAAGCCTACGATTGTTGACGGATTTCGGCACGCGCGCGCGACCACGCGTGCGTGTGCACTTCGTCTCGTTTAGTTTTTCGGCAAAGGATTATTGACAACTGATGGTGTTTGATAAATCAATGCTCGCGCATAATATCTTCTGCAAATATGAGGGGACACGCGATGCCAGCATGGCTGGGATGGTATGACATCATAGCTCCGATGGGCGATGGGGTATATCCATTTGCATATTGCAGTACGAAAAGGTGGCTCGTCAACCCCGGGGTGGAGTAGATCCTAATGACTTTTTCAAGCAAAGAATGTATGTGGTGCAACCTATGCGGTGCAATTCACTTGCCGAACTTGAAGTTGTCAACTCCACTGCTCGCGCAATCATCCCACCCACCCGCCCGCAACTTGGTTTGCAAAACCCATGCGGGACCGAGCACAGGTATCGCTCCGGGGTCATCTTGGAGCACTCGGGGGCGTCTCAAGAGCGCCCCAAGAAGACCAGAGAAGCAAGACGGCCGACGACGACGACTACGACGACGGCGGCGATGACGACGGCGCCGACGTCGACGACGACGACGAAGACGACGACGCCGACGCCGACGACGACGACGAAGACGACGACGACATCGCCAACGAAGACGACGACGAGGGAGGAGGGAGGACGACGACGTCGACAACGACGACAACGACGACAACGACGACAACAAGGGACGGCGAGGGAGGAGCGAGGACGGCGACGACGCGAACGACGAAGAAGGAGGAAGGACGGCGACGCCGAAGACGACAACGACGAGGGAGGAGGGAAGACGACGACAAGACGACGACGACAACAACGACGACGACGACGGCGACGAAATAGGAGGGACGAGACGCCGACGACGGACGACGACGACGAGGGAGGAGGAGGAAGGACGACCACGGCGACAACGACGACGGAAACGACCACGACGCCAAAGAGGACGACGACGACGAACACGAGGAAAGGCACAGGACGACGTAGGCGACGACGACGACGACGCGGAAGGAGGGAGGACGGCGACGACGACGACGACGACGACGCCGCAAGAGCGCGCGCGCATGCTTTTGTTGAAAATCCGTGTTGCGAAACCTTGTGTTTTTGTAGGTTTTTTGGACGCGCGATTTTGAAATCCTTCCGAAACCGATGGTTTTTGAAGGATTTCGGCGTACGCGCGCGACGACGCGCGCGTCTGCACTTCGTTCCATCTGTTGCAGAGGATTCTCGCGACGGCACACGCGCGAGGGCGTTCGACAGATTTCGACATGCGCGCGCGACGCCCGTTTGGTAGCATGTTGTGAAAATATTGAAAAATCAATTGTTTTCTTAAGATTTCGCAAGAGCTCGCGCGTAAGCTTGTTTTAGCAAATCAGTGTTACGAAACCCTGTGTGTTTTGTATGTTTTGGGGAATCTCGATTGCGAAATCCTTCCGCCACCGAAGGTTTTTGAAGGGTTTCGGCATGCGCGCGCGACGACGCGCGCGTGTGCACTTCGTCCCATTGTTTGCAAGGGATTCGTGAAAAAGTGCTATGTTAGAACCAACAATGTCACTGCATAGTGCTTTTTTACAAGGGAACCTGAGGGGGGGATACCGGTCGGCCTGGAAAATTGTGATTTCATATTTAGGATGGACATGTGGTCATAATCATACGTGATTTACATACCCGAAAGGGGGGCGATGACGCTGGGGCGGGGTAGAGTTTTTTCCCTTTTTAGAAAGGAGAATCTATGAGGTGCACTCTTCGCGGTGTAATCTGGGCGGCGATGACCACCACGGAACCACCACATCGACACCCAGGTCCAGACGACGGGCGGCGACGAGGCGGCAACGGGGCGGCGGCGGCGACCACGGAACCGCCACACCCAGGCCCAAACGACAGGCGACGACGACGAAGCGGCGACGGGGCCGCGACGGCGACCACAGAAACCCCAGCCCGACGCCCAGGCGCAGTTCCTCAGAAAAGAAATAGGACACCCTAAGTTTAAGCACTGCTCCGGAAATCAAAATGGAACTCGGGGGGAGGGTGTATTGCACTGGTCCTTGGGTTTGCACTGGTCCCCCTTGGGTTTGCACTGGTCCTCCTCCACCTCTTCTCTTCCTCCTCCACCTCCTTCTCATCCTCCTCCACCTCCTCCTCCTCCTCCTGTTTCCTCATGCCTCCTCCTCCTTCTCCACCTCCTCCTCCTCCCCCTCCTCGTCCACCTCCTCCTCCTCCTCCTGTCTCCTCATGCCTCCTCCTCCTCCTCCTCCTCCTCCTCCTCCTCCTCCTCCCTTCTCATGCCTCCTCCGGCGGGGCAGAGCGAGGCGGCGGCGGCGGCCACGGCGGCCACGACGACGACCGCGGCGACGACGACGACGACGACGACGACGACGACGACGACGACGGCGGCGACGACGACGACGACGACGACGACGACGACGACGACGACGACGACGACGACGACGACGACGACGACGACGACGACGACGGCGGCGGCGGCGGCGGCGGCGGCGGCGACAGCAAGGCGTGCGGGGCGCCGACTGCCCGAGGTGGGCGCCGAGGGCCTGGGAGAGCCCCAGCGTGGTGGTGGACCTCGGGGGGGCGCCCAGGGGGAGGGAGGAGGGGGGGGACCGAGGAGGAGGAGGGAGGAGGAGGGAGGAGGAGGAGGAGGAGGGAGGAGGAGGAGGAGGAGGAGGAGGAGGAGGAGGAGGAGGAGGGAGGAGGGAGGAGGAGGAGAGGAGGGGGGAGGAGGAGGGGAGGAGGAGAGGAGGAGGAGGAGGGAGGAGGAGGAGGAGGAGGAGGAGGAGAGGAGGAGGAGGAGGAAGGAGGAGGAGGAGGAGGAGAGGAGGGAGGAGAGGGAGGAGGAGGAGGAGGAGAGGGGGGGGAGGGAGGAGGGGGAGGGATGAGGAGGGGGGACTGACAAGTTATGTGCACTCGCGTCATATCTGACGTCCTATCCCTCCGTCCCATCCCTTGCCGTGGCGCAGATCTCCTCTGGGTTCGCAGAGTCGCATGTCGCAGCGTGGCATAGCACTGCATGGCATAGCGTGGTGCTGAAGACTGACGCGTAGCATGGCGTGGCGACGCCCCAAAGTGGGGGGGGGCTCCTGCGGCCCCAAAAAACCAACGAATCGTCACCGAATGTGGAACTACTTCAGATGGTTTCTTCGGGAGGCAATATTTTGATGTTGGGGCCTAGTTGCATAGATTGGGAAGGATCGAAAACCATGCCGTGGCATAGCACTGGAAATTATGACGCCAACGCTGCAGCGGGAGCACGAGTCGGAACGAGCGGAAGCGCGGAAATGAGGCCCACGTTGCCGCGGGAGCACGATTCGGAAAGAGCGGTAGCCCGAAAATGAAGCCAGCGCTTCAGCGAGAGCAGCATTCGAACAAAAGCCAAAGCGCGGAAGCGCGGAAATGAGGACGCGTAGCCTGACAAAGCGTGGCGTGGCGACGCCCCAAAGTGGGGGGGCTTCTGCGGCCCAAACAATCAACGAACCGACACCGAAGTTGTAATCACTTCCGCTGGTTTTTTCCGGGGGACAAATTTTTGGATGTTGGGGCATATTTACATAGATTTGGAAGGATCGAAGACCATGCCGTGGCATGGCACTGGAAATTATGACGCCAACGCTGCAGCGGGAGCACCAGTTGTAACGAGCGGAAGCGCGGAAATGAGGCCCGCGTTGCCGCGGGAGCACGATTCGGAAAGAGCGGTAGCCCGAAAATGAAGCCAGCGCTTCAGCGACAGCAGCATTTGAAAAAAAAACAGTCCGAGCGAAAACCCGTTTCCGGGAATCCTGTTTGCAAAACGCCAGTATGCGGAAGGGGGGCCAGCCATTTCCTGGACGTCACCAGGGGAGAGAGAAGAGTGCTGTGCATATCTCTCAACTGTGGAGAAGGATGAGAATGAGAAGGAGGAGGAGGAGGACGGGAGGAGGAGAGGAGGAGGAGGAGGAGGAGGAGGAGGAGGAGAAGGAGCAGGAGGAGAAGGAGCAGGAGGAGGAGGAGGAGGGGGGACGGAGGAGGAGGGGGGACGGAGGAGGGGCGAGCGACCCAAGAGCGATCCTTCCTTCCTGGACGGGTCTAGGCGGCGCAGGGGAACCCGCCTCAGCAGGCTGTAGGGCATGTCTTGTGTGAGGCCAAACGAGTCGCTGCAGGCCCGCAGAATGCCGTCAAGGGTGGCCGCCGTGGGGGCCGAGGCGTCGAACTGGAAGCCGCCTTCGAAGGCGAAAACGGCGTAGCCTACGCCGAGGTCGAACGAGCCGTCGTGGTAGACGGGGTCGTACGCGTAGTTGTCCTCGTGATGGGCGCTGGCGCCCATGAGGCCCCGTCGACTATGAACAGGCACATTTTGCGAGGGGCCGCAGGTAGGCGAGGGGACGGAGTCTCAATCTCCTGCACCCTTCCCAGGGGCGCAGAGGCAAACGCGGCGGGCCCCGCTGAGGTCGTCGAGATTCTGGATCACCTCCTTGTCGAACTGGGTGTTCCTGTGCATCCTGCAGGAGGTCAGCACGACGGAGATGCGGGGCGCTAGGAACAGCCCAGTCAGGACAGGGGTGCATCACGTTGTGTCCAAAAGAACCCATAGCAAACAAACATTTAGGATGAAAAGCCAGGGTTGCGGCCTCGGATCTCGAGAAGGGCCTGGTGACGTGCCGGCAGGCCAGCAACATCGGACGAACGCCCATCTCCGCCGCAGCGCTGTCCTGGGCGCCATACTTCAACAGCTCCTGACAGGTCGTTTCGCTGGGAACCTTCTTCGATCCTGGGTCCAGGTGTGTGGAGGAATCCGTATCTATGCACATCTTGCACATCTTCGCCAGTTTGGTCACCATCGCCGGCCCTAAGCCAGGAGCAGCGCAAGCACGATATCGTTGCCCAGCATCGTCACGATCCCAAGCACGGTCCAGATTCACAGCAAGGTCCCGAGGTCCAGCACGGACCCGATCGTCAGCACTGATTCGTACCCCACAGTTAGCAGCTTCATCACCAAGAGGACCCTACCGAAGTTCAGGTTGAGCATCACCATCTCCGTGCAGGAGCACTGCGACCCGCAGCGCAGCGCGCGCTCGCACAACAACGAGGAAGACATAATCGCTGCCGGCTCCAGGCAGGCGCGGCCCATGAAAGACGAGCGTGTTCCTTCGGCAACTGCAGGCTATGAGGTCGCCCTGAGGTGGTTGCAGCCCACGACATCAAAGCATCGAGGGTGACACGTGCAAACAGAGACCGTAGCACTCTGCAGGCCAACATCCAGCACCCTGAGGTAGTAGAAATCAGAACCTCCAGCGAACCAGCATGAGACCAGGCCGACCACCAGAAGAAGTGCTATTATCAGCGAGAACGGTACCTGTAGCAGCAGCGTCAGCAACATGGAGACGCGTACAATCGTGAGGAGCAGGTGCATGCACAGGAAGAGCCACGCGACCATGGTGATTGTCAGCAGCAGGAGGGGGATGGGGTGCAGGAGGTCCCGCGCGAGGTTCATGAAGACGACCTCCAAGGGCGCAACCAGCATCAGTGGCAGCAAAGCGTGAACGAACACGATCTTCGAACACACCGAGCTCGCACTTGAAACCGATGTCAAAGGCCATGCGGGCGGCAAAGTCATAGTCGTGCCCGTGGGTGTTGCCAGCAGGAACGACCACCTGAGGCAGCGGATGGTGAGACAGCGACAGCATACGGACTTGAGGAGCATCATGCCAGAAATGCGAGCCCACCCGAGCTGATTCAGCAGCGGAGGCAGTCGGTTCGGCGGCAGTTTCGAAGTCCGAGCCCCAGAGCACGCACCCAGGGCAGGGAGCGGGACAGGTGACCCAGCAGCTCGGGCAAGGCCACAGCGCCGACCACGCCGATCGGGATCATGGGCGGCAGGGCGAACGGCTGGGCGACGGTGCGCGGCGGGCGAACCATAGACAGCGGAGCCAGTGCCACCTGCGAGGGCGCGGCGACGGCAGCGTCCAGCGGCCGCGGCGCAGTGCGCGACCCAGGTGGGCCAAGCGCCGCGTCCAGCGAGATGGGGGGAACGCGAGTCGCCGAAGACGACAGGCAGCGGCCCCCGATGCTTGAAGCGGCCGCAACTCTGATTTCCACGACGAAGTCCTGGAAGGACGTGAGGCGGAAGGTGAGGACCAGCACCTGTGATGGCCTGGCGCAGCGTGTGCGTGGGTTTCCCACCATCCCCTCCAATCGACCATGCAACTGGAAACCACGAGTGACCTCTCGGGCATGCCAGTGAGGTTCCGCTGGTACACGATAGTGGCGGTAACCAGCGGGGCACCACTTCAGAAAGAAAAAGCCCAGCGAGCGAGCACGACAAGTACGCCCAACACGCGCAATAAGCAACCGGCAGTGCGGCATAGCTTCACTAGGCGGCAGCGAGCGTAACACACTGCATGCATGGGCGAGCGGCACGTGCGGGGACGCGACCTAGCATGGACCTGAACCAAAACGGCGACGGAGGTGGGGACGGAGGAAGAGGAGGAGGAGGAGGAGGAGGAGGAGGAGGAGGAGGAGGAGGAGGACTTTGCGGGGACGTCGGGGTTGGGGCCCGCCCAGAGGGGGGGGCTGGTATGGGGAGGCCGAATCCGGAGATCCGGGCATCGCACGTTTGCCGCACCGGGCGTGTTCGCCCGGCTTCGTGCCCCGGGGCCATCAAAGATCGATCCGGCTCAAAAAACTGGCGCAGAAAGATGCAGTCCAGCGCTTTGGGCGTGATTTGTTTTCCAACCATCCTGTGGTGTTGGGTCCTCGTTTTGAAGAGACGGTCCCCGCGTCCTCCTCTCCTCTCCTCCTCTCCTCTCTCTCTCATCCCCCTCCTCCTCCTCTTCCTCCTCCTCTCCTGCCTACTCTCTCCTCCTCCTCCCTCCTCCTCCTCCTCCTCCCCCTCTCAGCATCCTCCATCCTCCTCCTCTTCCTCCTCCGCTTCCTCCCAACATCAATCATCGTTCATTTCACCCATTTGTCGGACACCCCTCACACGCTTCGTGGCCCCATAGGGAGCTCCACCGAAGGTCCCAGTGGGTGTGCCCGCATGCGTCCCGCACACCCATTTCGGCACACCCCTCAGAGGTATCGTGGCCCTATAAGGGGGCTCCACCGAAGGTTCCACTGGGTGTGCCCGCATGCGTCCCGCACACACATGTCGGCACACCCCTCACACGTTTCGTGGCCCCATAGAGAGCTCCACCGAAGGTCCCAGTGGGTGTGCCCGCATGCGTCCCGCACACCCATTTTGGTACACCTTCCACACGCTTCGGGCCCATAGGGAGGCTCCACGAAGGTCCCAGTGGGTGTGCCCGCATGCGTCCGCACACCCATACAGAACACCACCCTTCACATTTCTTCTCTGCACATAGGGGGAGCTCCACCGAATGGTCACAGTGGGGTGTGACCATGGGCGTCCCGACACCCATTTCGCCACAGCCCCTCACACGCTTTCGTGGGCCCCATATGGAGCTCCACCGAAGGGTCAGTGGGTGTGCCCGCAGGCGTCCCGCACACCCATTTCGGCACACCCCTCACACGTTTCGTGGCCCCAAGGGAGCTCCACCGAAGGTCAGCGGGTGTGCCCGCATGCGTCCCGCACACCCAATTCGGCGCACCCCTCGCACGTTTCGTGGCCCCATAGGGAGCTCCACCGAAGGTCCCAGTGGTGTGCCCGCACGCGTCCCGCGCACCCATTTCGGCACACCCCTCACACGTTTCGTGGCCCCATAGGGAGCTCCACCGAAGGCCCCAGTGGCTGCGTTCGCATGCCTCCCCACCACCCATTTCGGCACACCCCTCACACGTTTCGTGGCCCCATAAGGGAGCTCCACCGAAGGCCCCATGGCTGCCGTCCGCATGCGTCCCGCACACCCATTTCGGCACACCCCTCACACGTTTCGTGGCCCCACAGGGAGCTCCACCGAAGGCCCCAGTGCTGCCGTCCGCATGCGTCCCGCACACACATTTCGGCACACCCCCTCACACGTTTCGTGGCCCCATAGGGGGCTCCACCGAAGGGCCCAGTGGGTTGTATGGCCCGCATGCATCCCGCACACCCATGGCGGCACACCCCTCACCGCTTTTCGTAGGCCCCATAGGGGGCCCACCGAAGGTCCCAGTGGGTGTGCCCGCATGCGTCCCGCACACACACACACACCACACCACACACACACACAACCACACAACACAACACACACACACACACACAACACAACACACACACACACACACACACACACACACACACAACACACACACACACACAACACACACACACACACCCACAAACACAACCACCACAAACACACACAACACACACACAACAAAACACACACACACACACACACACACCAACACACCACACACACACCACAACATTCGGCAACATCCCTCACACGCATCCGACGGGCCCCATAGGGAGCTCCACCGAAGGCCCCAGTGGGTGCGCCCGCATGCGTCCCCCACACCCATGTCGGCACACCCCTCGCACGTTTCGTGGCCCCACACGGAGCTCCACCGAAGGTCCCAGTGGGTGTGCCCGCATGCGTCCCGCACACCCATTTCGGCACACCCTTCATACGTTTTGTGGCCCCATAGGGAGCTCCACCGAAGGTCCCAGTGGGTGTGCGCGCATGCGTCCCGCACGCCCATTTCGGCCCACCCCTCACACGTTTCGTGGCCCCATAGGAAGCTCCACCGAAGGTCCTTGTGGGTGTGTAATTTCGGCACACCCCTCACACGTTTCGTGGCCCCATAGGAGCTCTGCCGAAGGTCCCAGCTCACACGTTTCGTGGCCCCATAGGAGCTCCGCCGAAGGTTCCAGTGGGACAGTCCGCATGCGTTCCCGCCAATCATGTCGGCACATCGCGCACACGTTTCGTGACCCCACAGGAGCTCCGCCGAAGGTACCATTGGCACAGTCCGCATGCGTCCCCGCCGCTCATTTCGGCACACCCCTCACACGTTTCGTGACCCCATAGGAGCTCCGCCGAAAGTCCCGGTGGCACAGTCCGCGTGCGTCTCCGCCATTCATGTCGGCCCACCCCTCACACGCTTCGTGGCCCCATAAGGAGCTCCACCGAAGGTCCCGGTGGCACAGTCCGCATGCGTTCCCGCCATTCATGTCGGCACTCCCCTCACACGTTTCGTGGCCCCACAGGAGCTCCGCCGAAGGTCCCCGTGGCGCAGTCCGCATGCGTCTTCCTTGCCCAGTACAGCGATACGTGGCCCCATATGGAGCCCCACCGCAGGTCCCAGCCAGCCAGCTAGCTCTCTTTGCTCCGCGCAGCGGGCGACCCGCGCGCGTCGCTGGGACCCCTCCGGGGCGACCTGCGCGCGTCGCGGGGGATCCGTGCTGCGTTCTGCCCAGCGCCTCGCTCGCCCGTCGTCGCTCTGCCCAGCGGCAAGAGCCTTGCCCGCTATCAGCCAGCCAGCTAGCTCTCTTTGCTCCGCGCAGTGGACGACCCGCGCGCGTCGCTGGGACCCCTCCGGGGCGACCTGCGCGCGTCGCGGGGACTCCGCGCTGCGCTGCGCCCGCAGCCTTGGACTTTTGAGTGCGCGGGCAAAGAGGGAGTAAAGGAAGGGGAGGAAGCGGGCGCGATCCTCGCGGGGGGGCGCGTCGACATTGGCGTCGCGGCGCGCGGGCGATGCTGTCGGGGAGTCCCGGGGAAGCTCCTTGCGGCGGCCACGCCCAGCGTCACGAGTACTCAGAGGCAGTCATTGTCAAAAACTATCGACAGTCATACACAAGTGCACCACGCTTTGTCATATTCGCATTCATGCACGTAGACTCTCTCGCACGCAGATTCATTCACAGTCAGATGCACGCGCGCAGATTCACCCGCGCTCAGTCTCCCTACGTACTCAGATCAATCGAGTTCGTTCGCGTTGTGTACCACGCCACTCATGTCGGCACACCCCTAGCACGGTTTGCTGCCTCATAAGGATCGCCACCGAAAAAGTGAATCACTATTGCGGTACTCACACCTGCATATGGTTGGGTCCCTCGTCAGGCTAATTTGCGATTTTGCTATTTGTCGCAACGTCGGGCCTCAGGGGAAGAACGGCGACGAGGAGGAGGAGGAGGAGGAGGAGGAGGAGGAGAAGGAGGAGGGAAGGCGGAGGAGGAGGAGGAGGAGGAGGAGGAGGAGGAGGGGAGGAGGAGGAGAGGAGGAGGAGGAAGGAGGGGAGGAGGAGAGGAGGAAGGGGGAGGAGGAGAGGAGGAGAAGGAGGAGGGCGAGGGGAGGAGGGAAGCAGGGGAGGAGGAGGAGGAGGAGGAGGTGGAGGAGGAGGAGGAGGAAGAAGGGGAGGCTGAGAAGGAGGAGGAGGAGGATCAGGAGGAGGAAAAGGTGGAGGAGGCGGAGGAGGAGATGGAGGAGGAGGAGGAGGAGGAGGACCAGTTTAAACCCAAGCAGCGATGTTGGAATAAACCCTCCCTCCAAGCTCCCTGTTCATAGGCCCCTGCAACTGTTCACTTCCATTGAAAGAACTGCCTCGTTGGAAGACAACCGTTTGAAGACCCTGAAGCATGCCAAGACATTGTTCTCGGGATTCCAACGCCACGGATCAACCTGACTGTTGCGCGATGACGAGCCGGACTCGGGCCAGAACGCCATTCCTGGGAGTTCAACACAGCGAATCAACGTAACTGTTGCACCCGCATCGCTCTGAATCCTTTCAAGACACCAATTTTGATACGTTAATGATGGGAGTCCGTGAAACTCTTACAGATATGTTAAAACGAATGTGCGCGGTGTTAAGACGAGAACCACAATTCGAAAAAGAACCGCCCTCAAGCCGTGAAAGTCTTGCAAAGTTGCTTAAACAAATGTGCGACGCGCTTCGGCGAGAGCCACACTTTGAAAAGGTACCGCCCTCAACCCGTGAAACTCTTGCAAGGTTTTAGAACGAATGTGCGCGGCGCTAAGGCGAGAGCCACATTTTGAAAACGACCCGCCCTCAATATGAAACTCTTGCAAGGTTTTAAAACGAATGTGCGCCGCGCGCTAGGGCGAGAACCACATTTTGAAAACCGCCCGCCCTCAATCCGTGAAGCTCTTGCAAATGATTCTCAAGAATGTCTGCCGCCCTCAATCCGTGAAGCTCTTGCGATTTTGAGAAAACGAAGGTGCGCCGTGCTAAAGCAAGAGCAGCCACATGTTGAAAACCACCCGCCTTCCATCTGTGAAGCCGCTGCCAATTTTTAAGCTTCAGGGTCATAAATGGTGAGGAAGTCTCCGGCGACACGCCCGGCCCGCCCTAAAAACTTGCCTCGGGTGCGACAGGGCGAAGTTATTTATGAGGAACAAGAACGGAGGCAGCGGTCTGCGGGGGGTGCGGCGGACTTCCCCTCGCCGAGCGGCGTGGGGTTGATGCCGCACACCTTGGCGAGGGGCTGCGCGGGGAGGGGGCTTCTGAGCGTCCAAGGCGGTCCGTGACGCAGGGAT